AAAACTCGTACCTAACCTAAACCTAAACCTCCTTTAGTCGACATAAAACAAATATTAATATCTTTATGAATGAATGCATACATCTTATTTCAAGTTTATTTATTTAATTTGAACAAAACAATGGACGAAGACCTGTTACTCAAGCTAATTAGACCGATATGTATGCATGGTATGCAGATACAGTACTGTTAACTCGGCCGATATAGCAGTGGGATCATTGGCATGGATGTCTGTGTTATTGGTGGGGTCAGTGGCCGGGACTGCGCTCAGGCATGCCGAGCTGGGCGGGCCAAACGGGCCTTCAACTTTAACTTCAACTTTGGCACAGGTAGTGTGGAGTTATCTTGATTTTCAAAGGAACGTCGAGCTGGATGGGCCATGCAATCCTTCAAATTCGACTAAACATTAGCCCAGCGTAGTCACTGTAAGGTTATCATGATGTTCAAAGGCATAGCGGGTCAAACGGGTATTCAACTTCGGTACAGGTAATGTAAAGTTGTCTTGATGTTCAAAGACTCATAAAACTGAATGGGTCATACAAAACTTCAAATTCGACTCATCTTTGGTCCAGTGCTGTCCTGTGTATAGTTGTCACGACATTCAAAGGCATAGCGGGCCAAACGGGCCTTGGCACAGTGTAACGTTATATTGATGTTCAAAGGTACAGGATGGGCCAAACAAGCCTTCGAATTAGACTCAACTTTAACCCTGTGCAGTCACTGTGTAAAGTTATCATCACGACTTTCAAAGGCATAGGGGGTCAAACGGGCCTTCAACGTTGACACATGTAATGTAATGTTATCTTCATGTTCAAAGTCAAAGGCATAGGACTACGAACTGGCCTTTAACTTCAACTCAACTTTGATCCCAAGCAGTTTAAAGCTATAAACCTTGGCAATACAGTCACCGTGTAAAGCTATTTCGACGTTAAAAGGCATAAAAGGCATAGCGGCCTAACGGGACTCCAACTTAAACTCAACTTTTGCACGAGTGTGCAATGTTAATCAAGTTCATGCCATGTTGGGCGGGCCAACCAAAATTGGAAAATTTATCATTGACCGGACTGAGATAGAAGTTATTTCCATTTTGCCTTTGCCTTGGTTATTACTTTCAATAAATCTGTTATTGATGCTCTGTTGTGTTCATATGGGAGTGGTTATGCAATCCCTGCCAATTTGGCATTGTTTCCTTTAACGTTATTATTCTATTTTTCTATGCTGTAACGCAGTTGCCATAGAATTACCGGTAAAGTCACCAGAATACGTTGGGTATGGAGATTTTTAAAAGCGTATGAAATGGAAGTGATGGGTGTAATGTTGTTTATTACTCTTTGTAAATTAAATTGATCAGCTGACATGTGAAATAACTTTTTTAATTATTTTTGTTCTTTGTTATTGTTTTCATTCGTAACCAAATTCAATGTTTGTTAAATGCTCTTGATTTTTAATATTCAATTATTGATTTTACATTGTGGCACTGCGGCTAGTAGTAATAGAGATCGATGTGCCACACTAAAAAAAAACATTTAAACATGTTTTATTGTGGCCTTGGCTGCGGACATGCCACGAAGAAGACAATGTGATAATTTTTAAGCTATATACAGAAAGTAGTAAAGTTGCAATGCTGTGGAGAGATTTAATTTCAACAGCTTTAACCCAGACGAGGAAGAATGTGAGTAGGCCTAATTGAGCCGTCTTTGCACAACCATAGGTAATTTTGGTTAGATTTTTGTGTTTTTTTTTCGCTCGTAAACCTTTTTAGGTCTATAATTAACTTTTAATAGGTAATAACAAGATTATTTATTTTGCTTTATCGTGTATATTCGTACAGACTAGAGCAACGTTGAAGCATACTTTCGCCATTAATAGTTTAAACTGATTTAAAAGACGTGTTCTTCGGGGCCAACCTACACAGTTGTACATACAAAATATCACTATCTATATCAATATATCTATATTATATTGATAATAATACACTGACTCACAAGAAGGGGTACTGTTTTTTTTATTTCAAAGTATTTTTAAGGGTATTTCGGAAATCGGGACAAACTAAAACCAGAAGCTGACTATTCAACCCGAAGTAAACTTATTTCAACAGCAAACAAATGCAATTCGCCACACGGCACAGCGGAGTTCTACATAATTATTGTATTAACATTCCTCTGCTCTACGCTGGAGGCTCGAGTCACTATCTAGCGGAGCAATCCGTTGATTATTATATAATTATTGTTACTTTGTGGTTAACGCGCCCTCTAATTATCTTACAACAATGGCTCCCTGGCTGAGATGTGAGAGAATAGATCCTGTATAAGCTCATTAAAATTTTAGTCAAGGTGTGTGTGAGGTGTTCAAAAAGTATTTGCTATGTTCATTGTATATATTCTGTACTGTGCACTAAATGCATGATGTGTTTAGTAATTGTCTATAAAAATCCTATCCTTGGTAGTTTTTTTTTATAGCAGTAAGTAATTTTTCCTGCAGAAAATCTTGTAAAGAACATTTAAAATCCTGTTCAAGCTGTCCACTATAATAATGAATGTACCGTATAACTACTTGATATTTTGTCATTTACACTTATCCTTATTTATTTTATACGCTTATCCATGAATACTGGTTCTATTGATGTAACTTTCCACTGGAGACTCAACCGAGCGGTGTCTTGGTTAATAATAATAATAAAACACACAATTTGTCGATTCCAACACAATATGTAATGAAAAGTATATGTGACTTTCTAATAATCAGATTATTTCAACAGCAATGATATTTTTTAATAAATCATAATTATGTACACATTATGTACGATTAATATTATGTACATGATTTATGTGTGACATGGCCTTTAATGGAGGGAGATCCCCGATAGATAGGTCGTTTCACTTAAAAGACATCTTTATGTAAATCTACATATGTATTAAGTTGAGATAAGAACACCGGATCACGACGTTATCACAACTAACACAATTTGGTGATTGGCAGGACCTGATTTCGGACCCCCTTGAATTGAATTGACTAATTCATTTCAAATCAACGATTCTATCAACTTTTACAATATAGTTAACTGTAAAATATGAATCCTCCAACCATGTAAATCCTCCATGTGTAAATAACAAACCTGCTTCAGATACTGTTTAGGGCAATTAAACTAATGTGGTTGAAGGTAATTAACATACAATCAGTTATTTATTTTGTTACAATCCAAATACGAGCAAATGAGGATACAGTAAATTTAGTAGGCCTAACCTGTTGAAAAATCAAACAAGGAAGGCTATCAAAAGTCAATACGGTAATTTCATCCATTCAGTTCAACAAATATCACTCGTTCCCACTAAAACACCTTACAGTGTATTTTTATCTTAGAAAAGTCAATAAGTAATACGATGATCGCTACATCGTTTCCAGCGATTGTACCAGCGCACTACTCGGGCAGGTGGGATATACATAATGGGATTTCACCCATAATTATCCTTACAAATGCTGGAGGAAGACTCTAAAAGCAATTTAAAAGCCTCCGCGGTTATCCTAGGGCAGTAAAGTAGGACCGGAATGTTTCCACCCAACAGGTCACCATTCTAAATTCCACAAGAGGGTGTCAAGTTAGGCCACCCCTACCTGCCTAGTGTTTATGTCCCTCCCCGACTGTGGCTACCTTTGTCAAACACCCTTTGTTTAGTTTATTGCCAATTTTTCAAATGACCAATGGGCTAGAAATATGAACGAAAAACTTGTTTGTGAATAAGGAATTTTCACACGCCGTTGATGTGGGGTTGGGCACTTTCTATTGATGAAAAGAAATTCGAGAATCGTAAAAATGTTTCAGGTTCAAATGTACATTTATCAAATCAAACTCGAATCCAAGAGTGTACGGAAATATGTAAGACTGTCCCTTTGATGAATTGAGAATTTTCAAATGTTATTGATGAGTGATTGCATTTATAATACTTTCATTGGTGAAAACAGGTTCGAGCTGTGATGTTAAATGAACTTTTGTGAGTAAACACGAATTTGTCCAAAGTAACATTCTCAATGTAACGACTCTCCTACACTCATCTCCATTCATACTTGGCTTAAAATACCTACCATGTATGGTCGCCATTTCATTGAACAGTATTAACAGTATTAACAGACTCAGAAGTGTATTTGAGATTAAACTCCGTGTGTTTATTTTAAAATTTGTTCATTTTGCAATGAAGCAGATGATTACATTAAGATTTAAGAGGGTTCCAGTTTTTTCTAGTGGGGCCTTGGTTCCACCCGCAGGCTGGTTACCACGTAAACATGGACCTACAAAAAGGATCCTCGTGGCATTATTAAATTGTTTATCGAGTTGAAATTAACTGTAAAATATTCACAAAGATCCAAACTATACCCTGGATGAACTGAAATTTCGTAGAAGTTTCTTCAAGTATTTCCGAGTTCATTTTTAAAATCCATAATTAGTCTTTTCACATGTGATTTTAGCTTCTAAATAGACTAATGGTTAAACATTAATTTATCCCCATCCATTGTAAACTCTGATATGTTAAGAGCACAAAAAGCACACAATCATTGGGGAAAAAATCGTTTTAGTGTGCTGAGAGCTTGTACCGTAGACGCATGTTTAGCCGCCATCTTGAATTGATTGGGTAGAACCCTCTTAAGAGATTACTATTAGAAACATAATATAAATCAAAGTAGGCCTACATTACCTACAAGTAGGTACTTAAATGGATCGAACCTACCCGATTAGTTTGCTACCATACAGATTAATTTTGGTTAGGAGTCAACTTGTAGGCGACATGTATCCCGTTTTAACGAGGGTATAAAATACCTAAATATATAAATTTCAAACATTCCGATATCTAAACTGGTCATCCTTGGGGGCGGTGAGTCAGTGGTTAACGGAACCCTTGGTTGGGCGCGTCTGGGAGGTCGAACCTCCGACGAGAGCCGAACCTGGCCGAAAGTGGACGAAGGTAGACGATCCAGGTAGCGACGTTTCGGGCCGGCTGCGTCCGCCTTGCTCAGTGCTCAGTTTCAAGTTGTAGTTCTCTATCGCGAGTGATTGTGGTGAAGGGTCAAGGTGTTTCATGAGTGCGAAGGGATCTTTGAGGAATCGTAGTTAATACAAGGTATGTCCTTCATATTTGTTTTAATTTAAAATATAAGCATACCTTTGACGAAAACACTTATTCACTTTTATAAATTCCCAATGAGTTGTCCAATTAACCACAGGACGGGAATAGATGGTGACTGCAGATTTGTTGTTTACCAAAAGTTATTTTTAAACACTTCGTAGGGTGGAAATCGAGGAAAACACCATGTAAACTTTAACTATTGTTCACGAAAATATTTCCCAAATTAGATCTTCTTTGATTTAACTTTTAAAAATATTCAACATTACATTCACCCACATACATCACTTTATATTACAGTATACAGATAAAATTTCGAACCAGAATCAACTCATTCTCTTACAACTACTCTCAAGACAAATACTTAACAATCCAGCTGATCAAGTCTGTTGCTTGAAATATATAACCTACTGTATTATTTTATTCAATTATTTATATACTCAGCTATCACACTATGTTGCAACGTCTACAGTATCACCAGTACCAGTACGGGTCATAATTGTGTTAGTGTGTGAGTGTAAGTGTTTGTGAGTGTGAGTGTGCAGGTATTGCCAGCGCCTCAGGGTTATTGTTCTCCCGACCGTTCAAGTCTCCTCTCACGAAGATTGTATTCTCGTCTTACTCGTGGATGTCTTCTCATTTTGTTTTCAAACGTTTTGGTTTCACGTTGCAAATGGTTGCTTGATCTTGTCGTATTAAGGTGTTTTGTGATTTATTTGTCAATCAAAGTTTCCTCCATGATAAATAAATAAGTATGAGCTTGATTGCCAAATAAGTGACCTCTGTGATAAAGAAAACGTCTGTGACAAAAGGATACTTATTTGTTGACGACCAGTTTTTAATTTATGAAGTTTTTAATCTTAATCTTAATAATGAACATTTTTAATGTAAATTTCAGCACTTACGGCACGATAGCAATGACATTGAGAAAATGACAGTTTTATCAGTCAGTTATTATGTAAAAACATTTTACATTCTCTTTCAATAAAATAAGCAATAGTCAGGTTTATCTAAGATTCAATTATGTAAGCAGCTAGGCATATTACATAAATCATGCTAAACTGATTTTAACCCTGATTCTGCCTCCACGCTTTCTGGTGTGTTGGTGTTGTGTAGTATTGATCGAGGAACAAAAAGTATATATCAACTGACTTAAACTCATAATTTCTGAGGATCAATCCAAATCTGTTAGGTAGCCTATAAGAGAAAAATTTTGCTTAGTTGCCAAGGGGTTTCGCTATTTTCGAGCGACAACATGCTTTTCGGTGATCTCTGTAGTTGTAGTTAGTTAGTTAGTTAGTTACCATCTCGTGTGTGTTGTGGTTAGCGACCTATGTCTAACAACCTTCAAGTAGCTCAGTATCGCTTCGACCCACTTAGAGTACCTCGATTGGGAATCAAACATTGAAACGTATTGTACATCAAACGTGGTCTAATTCATGAGGGAATTTGACGAGTTTTTATGAATATCAATGTCATAATATTCAATTAAAAGAGTTTGATCTGAATGTTTACGTAAGTTGTTCAACTAATTGATAGAAGTCTTGGTATCGATAAAATAAATCTGACTTGTTCTTGATAAATCTCTTTCTTGATACTTTTGGACTCCTATTGGACATGAAATTCAGTTATATCTCTAATTATTGAAACGATACCTAGCATGTCCAGTCCATAAACTTTTCAGATGACCTTATGATTTTTATGAGATTTTTTTGGATACGTTGTTTTCTTAAGATGTAGCATAATTACACAACTACAAAAATTCATAAATATTAATTGACTATTCCTCTATTTACCTTGTCGATCACAGTTGATAAATCTTAGTTTTGGTTGATGTATCATTTGGTAGGCCTAAAGTGTATAAAATCTTAAATATGACTATTTCAACGTGGTGGCCCTTATTTTTTTACAAAATAATTTATTTTGAACAACTAATTAAAGCAATCTGAAGGGTCTTGGTATGAAATATTGAATGTCTTTGAACAAAACTTAATCAGAAAACTTCTCTAATGAGGTCTGGGTGGCCGATGATCCCAGAGGCGGTTATAGTCCTTAGTCTTATCATTGACATTGGATACCGAAGTTGTATTAATAGTTAAAGGTGTTATGAACCATATTTAATCTTAACCTTTAAACATCAAGAAAGGAATTTTGTCGCTGTATTCTTTTTTGCAAATACCAAAAGTATATGCCACTAAGGACGCTGTAAGGACATCTACATGGTTGGTTCCCATCCAGATGAGTCTATTGGACCTCTAGTACCTGCAGAACTGCAGCAGATATGTGACGCCAGAGTGTGAGAGTGTCATCTGCAGAAACTGACGTGTGTGACAAATCTTGAGAGGCTTGGCAAATCGAGGTTTTCATTTGGCAACGCGATTGACCGGCAGAGAGCAATGACCAGGAGCACACATTGATATGTCCTGGGAGCCAACTATCAGGAGGTTCATTGGCTAAACTCAAGTCCCTACTCTACGTATCTCACTTTTAATTGTAAATCGTATGCCACATAGGGTTATCATGTTTGAAACAAATTTGAATTTCTCACATAATCCGGTCGACTTTCATACATCTAAAAACACAAAATCGTGGTGTAGGAACCAGATTTTAGAAGTGAACGTTCGTTTGGAATAAACCTGTGACATGGGAAAAATATTTGTAGTTTTGACAAACGTTAATATATGTTTACCGCAACCAGGATCATTATTCTGAGCTATGCTCGTGGTGAACATAGCTGAAAACATTATGTTAATGGTACGTTTTGCCTTTATACATAAGTTATTAGATTTTAGATTCATGCAATGCCAACTCGCTGTATTTAACACGAACGTGAGTGAAGGATGAGTGTGTCCAGGACTTATTGAAGGTCCAATAGTTAAGGACAACCAGGTTTAGTATCAAACCATCAAAAACCTCACTTTTCTCAAGATCAAATCTGACATTCTTATTATAGGCGAGTAGTCGAGCTCTTGACCCATCCACTACCACTCAGCTACCACATCGAAGGGCCATCGTTGAGTTATATACATCGATGGTGCCATCATACATTCGTTAACTTATTCCAAACATCATTTCCCATGTTCTCCGACTTAAATTTTAGTCGTATCATTTTCATCAATTATTCAATTCAAAGTTTAAGAATGAGCCAGAGCGAAACAATAGATGACTCACGACTTTACACACAACGGACGATGGGTGTGAAGACGACTTCTCAGCCGCTAGCTCACATTGATTACAGTCCATGTCATCTGACTGTTGTAAGCCTATTGTCCGGAGGTTATGCAACCCAGGCTCACATCACTGACAGACGCCGAAGACAGAGACTAGCCCCAGCGGTGGGCGGCGGACGAGACAGACATACAGAAATACACATGAGGAATGGGTCATTGTTTGCTTAAAACGACGACTGCTCCAACTTTGCGTGGAGTTACGAAAAATAATCACACATTTTAGTGTTTTCAAAGATCTTAATGTGGTGTATCGAGAATTTGAGAACATTTTGGATGAGGCAAACAATACGAGCGTATGAATTTTAGTCAGCAATAGGTGCAATTTGGCTGCTTGTTTATTTGTTAATGAGTTATTTATTCAATTATCCTTCCAAAAAGGATAAAAGTAGTATACGTATAAATGTATTTATCCGGTACAAACTTGATAAATGTTGCAACTTCTTGAATTGATGAATCGTAAAACTATAACCTTTAGTTACAGCGTAGGATAAATGGTATTCCCAAGGTAAACCACAGAGAATAGTGTATAGATAATAAGAGAATAAGCATTTAGGGAATTTATATTGAATTAGGTAAAAACCGATTTTGATCGGACACTAGCAAGCTCTTGTTGTTCTCGATTTAGTTGTGCAATTTTCACAGAATTAATTGACGTATTCATAAATTATTATGCATTTGGTTTCTACCTCATTCTACGATCTGTTTCCAAACGGCTGTTTACATTGTTCTAAAGCGTTTATAATGAATGGAGAAAACCTTTGTTGTGTTCCAAAGATCATAATCTTACCCAGGTGCGTCCAACAAAGGTAGCCTTCTCAGAAGCCCAATCCGAGGTTCCGGCTCTTGAACACTCAAAATTTAAGGCAAGCCTCCTCATTTAGAGGTGCGCCTAGTTCAAGGTTACTGATCATAACTCGATGTTCGGTAATTTCAGACAGTATTTGAACCGTGGTTTGGTAAACAAAACTAGCCTGAGGGGAGGGTTCACACTATCCTATTTCATTTCGTATATCGTTTGGAATTTTGCAGTCCTTATTCCTTAGGTCATTCAAGTACTTATTTTTAAAGTTGTATTAAATCACCCCAAGTTTACACAAACTCATATGTATACAGTATATGCACACAGATTACCATATAAGCCACGATATACAAATCACTCATTCTCGAAGCAACAACCAAAGCCATTTCTTCTGGATAAGATGATAACTTAAATTGTTCTGTCTCAATTTCGAGCAGAACTCAGTAGATCAGCCAGGAGATGACAAGGCATTCTGTAACCCACAATAAATCCTTACTGGTCACGCGCGATCGAGTAAATGAAAGGAAAATATCGATTGAGTTATAAGAAATAGTGTCGGTGGAAAACCAATTAGTGACCAATGACAGTGAGGTTTCCTGTTTTCGGAATCCTGTTAAAATAGCTATTATTTTTGAAGAGTTTCGTGATTTATCTAAATGATAAAAATAAAATTTTTCTGAACGTATAGGCCCTATAGAAGTTTTGTTATAGAAATCCTCGAGGTATCACTTAAACTGGGGCCTTTATATACTAATTTTTGTTACTACACGATTCTTCCATCAGAGCATGTAAATGAACTAAATGGTTACAGTGCAAATTGAAGGCTACTAGTGCCACTACTGAGGTCGAGTGTTTACATTAAAATAGTGAAAGGTCACAGTGATGGGTTTTTACCGTGTTACCTTCACACACTTGCCTAGATTGAAACATCATCCACTTTTTATCAAAATAAACACAGCTTGAAATAT